GAAGCTGCGACGACAGCGACGTCGCTCCAGTCGCAGCTTGTCAGGGGGAGGGGCCTCTTTCGAGACCCCTCCTCAAATATATATATGGAGCCATCAATCGACAAGAGCTCCAAAAATTAATTCCAGTCATTATCATCATTCAAGTTCTATGATTTGCGTTTTGATCAGTACAGGAAAACGCCGTTTGTGACAACCGTTTCTGTTAACGATAATCTATTTGTTTTTTCAAAGAGTAACATTTCCACGTTTTTGTCAACAAATAGTTTATCTCAAAAAGCAGTATTCATCAAAGGAGAAATATTTTTCAAAATCTCTATTTTTTTACGGAGGTAGTTTGAATGTCACTGATGTACTGCTAAAACTAGTCCTGGTAAACTTTTAAAGCTCTAAATTACCTCACGTGAATGAAAGTATTTTACGTCAATCTTACAAACATCTTAAAGCTTTCATACAAATAATATGGCAAACCACAAAGATGCTTCAAGTTTGGGTAAACTTTCTCAGATCTACCACTAATACAAAACGACAAAAAAGCCATTACGACTCTTAGTTGCGCTTCTTAATGAGATAATCGCAGCTTCAAGATTTCAATACGTCTTAATCCTCTAAAAACACGCAGAATTATCCCGAAAACTATCCCGGCTGAATACAGTGGCGCTGAGAGGTGGCAGTCTCCAGACTAAAGGAAAGAATAAAGTAAATCCTCTTCTGCGTTTTTAATTATAAAAAGTGGTCCTGGAAGACAAAATCTGGCTGTAGTCGTAGTTTAGCTGGTAAACTGGTAGGAGTCGCTTGCCGTGCTATTACCCTAGTGTTCAATAGTCTTTAGATCAAATATGTTTGATATTCAAGAAACATGACTAATAGTAGCGGCTGAAGGACACAGTAGTACCGGCAAGTGACAAAGTTGATTAAAAAATTTACGATTTGCCAATAACTTTTGCTTTTGTGCGGTACCTGTACAACTTATAAATGCACCTTAAAAAAGAGAGTTAGTCTTTATTTGTTCCCAAGACAGCTATAAATCAGATGAGCGTCGCGAACGTAAAATTTTGCTATTTCTTTTTTTTTCTCTCGAGATTTTTAGGGTGCTAACCTGGTAGTTTAACTGCAATTTTTAGAAGGAGGCTTAAACGACTCTTTTAAATCTGCAATACGGTGTTGGCTAGCAAATTCAGATATGTGAAGAGAACTTGCGCGAATCTACGAAATACTCTAATCATCGCCGCAATCTCGTTGTATTCTCACAAGTGCAAAACTGAGGGCAACAGAAGGCCCTGACCACTATTATTGCTCCATTTAGAAGATAGTCAGGTTGAGAACATTCTGTTCATTTTTTAATGATTAGAAAATTTGGCAGGGAAATAAGCAGTTTACTGGTAACTATATTCTTACTGCTTAGTTACAGCTGCTTTGTTTAAATACTGCTCCAAAGTATTACTGATGCAGTCAGAGAGTGGAAGTAAAGCATTCCAATTCTGCCTTCTCCAATACCGTTTACAATACTCACCTTTACCAAGAGTGGCAAAAAACTTGACATTTGTGGGTTTACTCTCAGCCACATCGTTCCAAGCGGTAATTCTGTAGCGGTAATCCTCATCTTTTCTCATGCCAACTTTTTCTTGTGTCATTTTATAGCTGCAGCTACTACAATTGCTTAGGACTTCAACACTATTCCAATTCTTATAATCATCGTCGGAGAGTCGCAAGTCTTTTGTGTAATAAATTGTGTATTTCTGAAATTAAATTAATTTTTTAAGACTTATAAACTTCACTATCAACTTTTTTTAACCGAATTTGAGAGTAAACCATTTTTAGAGGCATATTTTATGTAATCTAGCCTGGATCTCTCCATTCGGATACACCGGTTTCTTCCAAAGAAGCACAAGAACGTTATTGTTAGTTTCTTCCGATTCCAAAACTTTTGGAGGATCGCGCGGAGCTAAATTTAGCCTTGTTTAAAATGTATATCCTGATTACTTTAAAATCAAGCAAATGAGAAGCTGTTTAATTTCAATTTTTGCTTCACTATATGTTTCTTTTACTTTGCGCCACTTGAAAGTTTTGAAATTTATAAGGCTGTCGTCCTGGCACTCTAGAAAAATGAAAGGAAAAGCAACAAAATTTTTATTTACCACCGGATCCAGTAACAAATTTTGCTTCTTTGGAACGTATTCCTTCACCAAATTTATTGACAGCTGAAACCTTAAAGTAATAGATACTGGAAGGTATAACCTCCTTTCGGAAAAGGTCAAGTTTTGTTCCCTGGACATTAAATGTTTGCCATTTTTCCATTTCACCACTTCTATTCTGGCTGATATAAACTCTGTATTCCTAAACGATGCAATTATTCATATAAGTTTGCGAAATATGGCCGACAAAAATAAAAAACAGGATTTCTTCTTGCCTTTTAAATAACATTACCGAACAAACTTCATCGATCGGAGATCGAATATTTTTCATAATTTATTTAGACAATTTACAGTAATAATTTCTCCTCCAAACTGCACTTCATCCCATTCCAAAGTTGCTTCAGTAGTATTACTGATCGACGATCGAAGATTACTAGGAGCAACTCCTGGCTCTAAAAAAACGCCTCCTCAATATTTCCTGTGGGAAATTGCTAGAAAAAGTTAACCTTCAGTTCAACTTGCCTTCAACAACCTGGTAAAAAGCAATACCATCTGTTTAGTTAAACTACTCCTCTAAACGTCCTCTGAAACAGGAGCAAATCTGGAGCTCGCAACAACATTCGTATAGGTATTTCAGTGCTGGCTAGTAATTTACAGATATGTTTATAAATCTAGTGGTAAGAAAAACAGTTATTCTAAAACAGAAAATTTAAAAGGAGGCATCCAGCCTTTCCATCTCTTCCCATACTTGAGCAACAGGCCTACATTATTATTTTTTTTTTTTATAGCCAGTGTCATATACAAGACATGTTCCACATTGGCTGATCAGTTTTTTTGAGTTAACCGCTCCAGCTTTTTCAATTTATTTGTATGAAAAGGTTTTCGCTATCAAGTAAGAATCAGAAGTTAATTCATAATTTCTTTCAAATGAAAATTAGCACCTTACAGAAGTTGAGAAAAAGTGTATTTTTTAAGAAACATAGCCAACCTCAAACAATTGTGAAAGTCATTCTAAAGCGTGTTTTTTTACTTTCTCTTATTATATTTTAATCTTAATTTGAAGGTTATTTTAAAAGCGCTAAATTCTCACTTTGAGACAAGAAAAAAAGCAACCAATTTGAAAAAAATGTTTTGTACCAAATTTTTTCCTCCATAAAATGCGACAAATTTCATAATGGATATTAGTGGACAGGTACGAGTCATGAAAGAAAGGTGAATTGACGTTATGATAACTTTATTAATACTTTTCATTCTGTGAATCTGTTTTCAAATCAGTAGACAATCCGAATAACTTCAAAATCGACTTCTTTTATCTGCAGTAGCTTGAAGTAATAAGCCTGATCTTTCAACGCTAGAAGACAAAAATTCTTTGTTTTTATGTATATCACAGAATTTTCACTTCAACTTACCTTACCGCATCTGAAATTCTGCAGGTTTTTTTCCCCTAATTGTCAATAGCATTAAAAAAGGTGTTAAAAATCGAGCAACAAATGTACACAGCCGATTAAAACTGATTCTACTATGCCACTGCGTTATACTTCATGACACTTGTACGACTACTCAACTACTCAACGTTGTCGCTCATCATGCCTTTAACCTGCTCATTTAAGCAGTTTTGTACCGTTTTCCAAAAAATCGAAATTTCCTTTGCCTTATTATAAGGTTTTGTAAGCCCATTATTATTTTCAGGACTTTAGTCATTACTTCAAATCACCGTATATAATCTAAATGGATTATCATGAATTTCAAGTAAATGGTTACTTTTGACAACAAAAGAAGCCCTCGCATTTTTTACTTCCAGAACATTTTTGGCTTCGCAGAACAGCTCCTGCGACTCATAAATATATTCCGTCAAAATACTGCTCTCCCACATGTAAAGCCGTGTTTCGTTAAGGTTTTCAATTATTTTTCTTTCCTGACTCTACAACTCCAAATATAAGTTTAAGGTTGAAAAGAAAACGTCGTCTCTTTTAACATTTGCAACAAATGCTAATCCTTCAAACACATTGTCTTCCAAGTTTACTTGTAATAACAAATAATTTTTTTTTTTTTTTTTTTGAAGAAAGTTATGAAAATCTAGCAGTGGAAAAAATAAGCTTCAGAGTTAATCAAAATTAAGTAAAATTAGTAAACTAACTTCAAGCGACGTCCCGTTTGACCAAAAGTATGCTAAAGTTGGAGACGGGCTTCCAAATGCAGAACATTTAAACGTAACTTTTTCCCCAGGATCTAGTTCTATAATGTCGGATGAGTTATTGACATAATTTTCGAGAAGCTCGATATAAACTTCTAAAGGAATTTCTGAAAAAGCATTATAAGAACAGTAAAAGCCAAATAGAAATTATTGGTCTATCTTTAGCAATTTCTACGTATTTAAGCAATCTAAGAACATTTACTGAAAATTTTCCAATCAACTATTTTTCGTCAGCTACCCTTTCAAAAATGGGCATTCAAATTCCCTCACTTAAGCATATGACACTTTACACTTACAAGACAGTGCCAACACTATAAAAAATCATTTTTCTATCGGAACACCTGGAATTATGTTATTGTTCCTAGACTGCTTACGCCCTTATTCAGTTGAAGAAAGATGTGAAGATACTATTTATTAAGACGCGAAGTCTACCAAAACTCTTCAAAAAACGAAACAATTCGAAAGGTCAGCAGCAACTGCACTTAAATAGAAGTTTTGGTAGAGCATCATGACCTGTTTTAGCTAGAAGTTACAACCAACACGACTCATTTTCAACAGCCCTATCTCCATGAACCTTTCAAAACCAGTTCATAAATTAAGATATTTTAAAGAGGTATTGATTAATTGGTAGTCTTATTTCAGAAGAAGTGATAAACAAATGAGGCAAAGACCTTGCTTTAGGTGCAGTCTGACGTTAGCAGCAGTTAGCAACAAAGTGTTTTTAAATTTTGAGTTCTTCAAGATAGTTTTGTCACACTCATGCGAGTTTCAAAAAATTGGGAGCTAAGGAAGGCAGTTTACATGCAAAAATTAGTATTGGAAATTTTTGTAAAATAACGGTGTATTTTGTTGGCATCCATGTTTTAGGCCAGTTAATGCCTAAACCCTGTGTATGTAAAAAGCATAAAGCAGAAAGTCTATTCAACGAACTAAATTTAATAAGCATTAGTTTGCAATGCTGTCATATGACAACTTTTTATGCATGTACACGTATACATATAGAACAGAAAGAAGCATGTTGCTATGTGTACAACTGTTAGCGGTGGATCACTTGGCTAGAAGGTCGGTGAAAAATGCAGTTAGCTACTTTTAAAAGTGAACGATAAACTACCATTTAGTTTGAATTCTGATTACGTAAATACAATATATTATATTATTTCTCACTGCTGCTCTTTTTAACTAGCCATTCTGTGTTGCTGCCTTTTATATTATACCTCTTTTTCTAAATTCTTTACAACAACTATATTGTGTTAATTAAAGCCTAATTAATTATTTTTGTTAGCTGCCACTGTCAAGAAAATAACTTGTGCATACCTTCTTCAATAAAAGGTACTTCGAGCATGTCGGAAGTAATTCCAGGTCCTGAAGAGGAAATTGCTTGTATGTAGACGTGGTAGGTTTTGTTACCATTTGCTGCCATGGATACGCTATTTTCATCTCCTGTAGTCGATAAGTTCGTCCATTTTTGTATTTCTACGTTATTATTTTCATTCACGTAGATCGTATAATTCTGTAAAAACTCGAAGAAAGTTGACATTACGAAAAGTTTTGCTCAGCAGCCCTTCTAGCTTATTTTAAATCTCTTCCACACTAGGAAGTATAGCGCAATGCCGAACTAGTACACACCCTTACTCGGGAAAAGCATTTTGACCTATGCTAGTATTTGGGTTCAATAGTTAAAGAGGAAAGCCTCTTAATAAATGAAAAGGCTCAAAATATCCGCAGAATTGCCAGCTCATTTTGTAATTTGTTTTCGTAGAAACTGTTTTAGGTTAGTTTTGGAAGATCTGGACTGAAGACCATTTCCTTAGCTTCCGAGAAAAACGAAGAAGTGGCACATAAATTGCCTCGACTTTTGATAAGTGAGATATTTTTAGTCAGCAAGCATTCTTTTTGTTAAAGAAGATAATATTACCAAGGAACTTTGGGAACTAGGAAAACTTAAAGGGAAGATAATCTTATCCGTTCTGTTAAAGTACGTTTGCCAAATTGTGAAAAAATGAATAGATCAGTATATCTTCTTTGCCTGATGGAGGCTGTGGTTAAAGAGTTGCAGAAAATAGTTAAGAATCTACTTATCATATGCATACGAAACTTATATTAGTTCCTTTTCAAACGTCGTGGCGGATTGATATTTAACGAAGGAGGATATGACAAAAGAATGCTCAGACTTTGATAAAACTTTTTGGCAAATGATTACACTACTTCGTCGAACTATCATAGAAAAAAAAGTGTTACTGGCTTTACATATTCAAAAACACCGAGATTTGATATACAAAGCACTTATGCTCACTTCGCAAAGATGTGCTCAATGCCTACAGTTTGTCTATTCAACGCTTACTCGGTCTACCCATACGGTAACAAACTTGGAAGAAGTAGAACAACAAATGCAGATATTATAACAAGATAAAATACGCAGCTGGTGAAAAAATAAGAGAAAATTTTAATAACGCACAATAAACGGTACAAGCTAAAACATAGAACCTCTAAAGGGTCAATAATAGAAATCGTGCAGTACACACAAAATCAATGGACCAGAAATGGATTAAAATTCTATATGAATTTTATTACAGATGGACTTTAAGTGCAGCAGTGATTATCTAATTTGCAGATATAAAAGAATGCATAAGAACAAGCAACAGAAGTAACTTGAGTGACCTTGGTATTAACTCAGTTTTGTAGATGTATTGCAAGACTTAGGCTAATTGACGGAAAGAAGCTGAGTTTAACACGAAGATTGTCTACAAGAGAGCGAAGCATCCGGCCAACGCCAAGTAAACGAGAATGTGGAATATATGATTATAAAGAGAACACCTCGGCTAAGCAAGCATTTCTTTCATGACCTACCGACTAGACTAACAGTTAACTGATAATTACCTATTTCCGAATAGAAGTGTTGCCCTTCTCCTCGGCATTCTGGTATCCGTCACTCTTCCCTGTAATCTTTATCTGTCATTATCTTAAGGTACTAATCATATTATTTTCTGTAGCTATATTTAAATCTAAGCTCTTTTTGTGTGATTTTTTTTAAAATTTTATCTTAATGTTATACCTTATTCCCAAAAAAAAAAAAAAAAAAATTAATACTGTGAGTGTTGCTACTGAGTAGGTCATCAAGCAAAAAACAATAAAAAACAATAATTTGCAGCGAAAGCGCATAAACTGTAGAAAACTTGGCATGACTCACTTTAAAATGAAGTAACTGAAGGTTAGCGGCTACTGCTCGTATTGAGAGCGAAGTGTAAAAAACAGGTTGTATTTAAAAAACTTCAAAAATTTTAAAAGCTAGTCATTTTGAGGGCTTGTTTTACAATGCGTTTAATAATGAAGGGATAAAAACTCTCTTTCAAATTGAGAAAATTTTCTACTTATCAAGTCGTGAAGAATCTTCCTTTACGTAGTTTTCAGAGTATTTCTTTGGATTCAACGTGAAATTTTTTACAGTAACGGAAACGGTCTTTAATCTCTAAATGTATCAGTATTTGCTCAGAGAATCCAAAAAAGGTAGTTTTTGAAGTCTATATTTTGTGTCATTAACTGCAGAAAGCAGTACACAAAAAAGTCATGATTAGCATTATGTAGGACTTGCTAACTAGAATTTTACCGGTCAATTCTTTTGAAAAGTGGAGGTAAAGCAAGACTCAGATTTCAAGTTTCTTTCGAATTTGCCAAGGACTGGTAACTACTTGTGATACAGTAATTTTTTAAAATTTTCTGTTAAGAAGAACTACTGTTAGATCAGAAACTTGCTGCAGGTATTATGAAGAAAAAACTTAATTTTAATTGACCGTAAAGTCATCGATAGTGTTAAACCGAAGTAAAGCAAAAAAAAAAATTTTTTTTCAAAAAGATCTATATCAGCTATCGTAACTGCGACAGTGCTTTACATCCATATAAGTCCTGCAGAGTACTTATAGAATCAAGAGTTATGCATTTGCAGCGTCAGTGTTGTTAATTTTAAAAAAAAAGCGAAGATAAGTGAGCATTTGTAAGGCAGCCTTCGAAATAAATTAAGTTAGAGTGTGATTACTGATACGAGGTTAAGAACGTAGGCACAAGACAATTCAGATATTAAGACAACTGACCAAGCAGTAATGCATAGATCGACGCGGAGTTTTGTTAGAATTCAAGAAATCTAAATCTAAACATCAGACGAGTTTTACGTAGTTTTAAAAAGATTGGACGAGGTGGTAACGAGTAAGTAACTTATGAACCCAATAAGAATACTCCAGCGAATAAATTACTTGCGCTTTACATTTTAGCAGAATTTGTCGAATGTCTTTGAGAATCAAAAATTCGAGGTATAAAGAAATTTTTCAATTTAAATCAGGACGACAAGACGTTGAGACAGTTTTAGCAACTTTTGAATATAAAGATCAAGGTTACTTTGTAAGCTGACCATATAAAAGTTATGGCCGTTCCGTACCACGCCGTTAATTGCATTGTCGCTTACAACTAAGATTTTAATCGTTTGACTAAAGAAAGATTGCAAAGTAGATATGATGGCATCATGAAAGAATAGTTGTTTAAATTCATCATTAAACTAACAAATAATTATAAATTAGACGGTAATATATTCTATATTTCACATCATATGGGACTAACTCAAAATAAGTAAGTGGTCAAAGTTAGAACAGTGTATGATAGATTAGTGAAATTGGTGAAGAATATATTAAGCTCAAACGAGAGTCTGTATAAAGAATTTGCGATGTTATCCAAAATCCGTAGCATTTTATTACGCTTTTATCCTTACATGTACGATGCGATAGCAGACACTGAAAAAAATTATTTGTAGAAAATATCAAGAGAAACCTCATGCTTTTTTTTAAAACGTCTTCTTTTCCAATCTTTGAAGGAACTCAGTGTAGACCTTTCTGAATAATGAGTTTGAGCTTTTACATATTTGTTACCAGAAATGTTCATCTCGGTAATGTCCTTAATATCAATTCAAAAAGCTTCTTCATCTGTTTTAGACGATTTACAGCCTCAAAAAGTTAATTAAGAATAATGTATTTGAACAGTTTAACGCAGTTCAGAATAACAAATAAGTTATAAACAAATTTGTAGAACACGTTAAATTTGAGCAGAAAACTACGTGCGTATTATGCTAATAAAACGTAATATGTTATTACTGCATATGTATTATTGCAAAAACGGTGCCACGAAGGACTTTTAGAACAGTGAAGACGGTGTTAAAAAACAAAGTGAGGTTGTTTTAAAATTTGAAGATTTTAAAACATTAGTTTGTAAAGTTGCACTCACTCACTGAGGCCATAATGTATATATATGGTGAGCCGGCTTCGTTTGTGACCTGATCACTGAATTTTCTGCAGTTTGGAAGCTCTATTGAATGACATCAGGAATCTTCAAAGATCGCGAGTGGGTTTTGATATAGAAAGAAGAAAAAATATCTAATCTATATAAGCAAGTTTGACATTCAAAGAGGTTTAGTGAAATTTGTTTGAAGAGGAGGAATAGGCAAAAGAAAACATCAAACCATTGTACATGAGATGTAATGTCTACTCCAAAAGTTTACTTTAGTCTGAAAAACTGGAAGTTGGAAGAGTTTAAGTTGTGATCGCATGAAGGAGTTGCTATGCTTGGGGTAACTTTTGGCCTTCCAAATCAGAAACGCATCAAGCAGATCATTTTGAATTCTACGAAGTGCGCCTTCGTTTTCAAATTGTGTTGATTTTTCGCTACGTTGTATGCTTCCATAATAATTTAATTCTTAGTTTCTGAAAATATCTAAATTTTGTGCATATTTTCTGTTCATTGCAGTTGGCTAGTTTCCTTCAAGTTTATTCTACGAATCATTTTTCAATGAGTTTTCCACTTTTTCTACTTCTTCTATATTTTTTTTACCGTATTCTCTTATGACGAGTAACTGTTCTTTGCTCTTTGATGCATTGCGTGGTTATTGCGTTCACTAAATCAGTATTAGGCAGTTTTTTGAATTTTTAATTTTTAATAATGGCTATTTGGCTACCAAATACTTCCTCTTGGTCAGATGAGATAAAATTAATAGAAAAACTGTAAGTAGTGTCAAAAATGAAATGAAGATACGCTAATTAAGTGCTAGATAAGGAAGATGAAGAAAATCGGACTCTATCAAAGAATGCATCAATCATTATAAAAATCGAGCTCAGAAATTTACTGAACTCTTTCAACATAATGAAGGTTAAATTTCATTAAATATAAAAAGTAGGTTAAGAAGGTTAAGAAAGCATGTTCATGCAAATCAGCAATTACCAAATCTTTACATGTTAAAGTGAATTGCGAGCGCTTTTTCAGGTAAAGGAACGTAGTATAATTTTAAAAAGCAAAAAAATTTAGAACTTCTGCTGCGGTCAAATGTATTAAAGAAGAACTATATTCTATCGTCATTACAGGCAAAGAATGGGTAAATGAAGGAAAGGCTTACAAGAAAGGATTTGTACACAATGAGATTGCCACTCATCGACTTTGTTTTGGAGGCAAAAGTAATTTTTTTATAATCAGAACTATTAGAATTTGAGACTGAAATCCGAGAGTCACGACTCACTTACTTTTTAACAGAGGGGTTCAAAGACAAAAAAATTAAAGGATTCATACTAAAGATCCATGGAGTTTTGTTAAGGTATACTTACCAATACATAGCAAAAGAGAATGAATCATTCCATGGTGATTGAGCATAGCAGAGAGCAATCATGCAGGTAGTAAAAAGAATTAATTTATTAGCTATCTACGCGATAAAACGAGCAACAGTTAGTTTTCGAATCAGTATAGCCCATTCGACAGAAACCAAAATTACCGCAAAATATACGCAAATTCAGATGTCTACAGATTTAAGACTTTTTTGTGCAGTATAATCAGAAGTACTCAAAAGATGAACAAGCTTTAACAGCAGGTTTGAAATCCTGTAAGGCAGATAAAGAGATTAGAAGAGAATCCAGTCATCAAGCGCATGAGTGTATGGAAATTGCTTTAAAATGTTATTGACAGAGGCTAGATTTGATAACTTTGTGCTAAAGAGTGTAATGAGTGGCGGTCAGTTAGAAATGGTGAAGAAGGAAGTACCCAAATAAACAACTTATGAGAAGAAAGGTCCACTTGGACATGGATGATACGAGATGTAAGATACTAAATGCTAAACGACGACGGAATCATGAAAATTCAGCCCCAGATGGTAAAAAACAGATGAAGCGGAAAGAATAGCTAACGCCTAAAATTTTTTGCTGTTTTAATTAAAACTATTACGTATTCTACCCAGAAACCGACAATACCGAGTAAAAAGAACTGCAAAACTCTTAAAGTATCAAAATGTAAACTACCGAATCGAAAAAATCAAAAATTAAAAATAACTTGATGTTGGACCATATTACTGGCAAAAGACGAGTTGTTGAACCTATATTTGAGAACCACCTCGCACTACAGCTTCCGATGAAGACAATCTGACTGCAAAGTGAATAAGCCTAAGTCCTCCAATAGAGACGTCATTTATTTTCTAACAAGCTTTTACAAGTACAAGAAAAAAATGAATTTTGATGCAGGAACATGGGACTTATAAAAAAAACAACAGAGAGTTTACAGATATATTCATCGTCAAGGCTACCACTTACCATGTCATTTAAAATGTTACCACATTATTTTTAAAACTGGATAACAATATGCCAGAACAAGTAGACTAGTCTCATTTTCTTGCAATTTTTGGCAGAAGAAATGCTTCAAAGTACAGGTGAGAGCTGTTGTAGAGTTCTGTAGAATATCAAAATTATTAAAAAACTTCTTCAAAAGAAAAAAGAACAAATTGAATTTAACTTCTACTACTATCAATCAAAAACTATCCGATACTGTTCACTGTTGGCTTTTTCTGACTTTGCGCTTTGTGCTTCCTGGTTGGTTCTGATCTAGTCCTCCTTCTTGATTAAGTTTTTTACATTCGAACTTTGATTTTGAAGGTTCTATATCCAGAACATCCTGATTTTTTGTACATCCGGTTATTCTGTATTTGATTTTGATTTGTTACTAAAAGTAACTCTGTTTCTATCTTGTTAAATTACATATTCATTTTGTGATTTAAAGTCTAATTCACCTTTTTCAATTCTAATTTATTGTCTCGGCCTGTCGTGCCTGTTATAAAACTTCACTTCCTCACTGCCCTCATTTTCCGTTTCTTGCCTGAACTTACTAATTCTAAAAACCTTACTCCTTACTTAAATTTTAAGTTTTCAGTTTTTCAGTTTTTAATTTAACTTCTTAACAGGTTAAAGCTTGTTTCCAATTTGTTTTAAAGATTCTTTGTTAATTTAAGTTCACTGTTTATTAGTTCCGATAAAATTTTTTTCCCTTTTCCTCTAGGTAAGCCTACCTTATGATAAGTAAAGCTTGGAAGTGACATAAGAGATTTCAAGATAAAAAGTACATCGGTAACTGACTGAAATTTGGATCTCTTATATATGCAGTAGAAGATGAAAGTGAAGCAACTATTTTGATTAGAGTGCTGCATAAGTGAATCCTGCTGAAAAGCAACTTTAGGGTAACTACTATAGGTTTACAACAAAAGACTTACAGTTAGTAGCCTCAGAGGTTTGAAAAGTGATTGCAAGAAATCCACTCAAATTAAGTTACTTTAGTAGATATACAAGTTGTTTTACAGGAATTGGTAAGTAATAAAAGATTCTTCTTTGCTTTTAGTTTTCTTTTTGTTTTTTTTTTTTACCTTTGTCGCAACCGCTCGCAAAAGGCACTGCATCGAAATGAAGGTCACTGTAGCTCCCTGAGGGGAAGCTCCTGGAGGGGTTTCAGACTGACCGCTTGAGCGGATGAAAGCGGAATATAAAAGAGGCAGTAATTAGGAAACAACTCAATGTTGCTGTTATTAAAGTTCAAGTCGTGCTTCCGGTCAATACTGATTGGTCATCTGTTACTGCCTACCTCAGTTTATGTTGCTATTTTCTGTCGGTGCCTGCCTATTAGGCAGCTTTTGATCGTCAACCAGAATTTCTGTTTGTGCAATATAAAGGTGAAGTAAAGATAAAAGGGTTGAACTGTAGGAAAGGGCTCCAGCATAGTAGGAAGGTATTACCCGAGAGGTACATAATTTGTCAAGCTGTAGGAAATCAGAGACATAGAAATTGGCGGTCTCAAATCAGTAAAGGTTGCAGTCTATTGGTTGGTACTGTGGCGAGTAAGGGCTAAATTACGACCCACAGTGAGAATATCATATTGCTAGAAAGGCTCTTGTTGGGAGTGTAGGAAAATTACTACCGTAGTAATTCTTCGTTCTGGGAAGGTGTCCTTTAGCCGCGACAACCTTCTTGTTTTTTTTTTACTTCTCTTTTTTTTTTGCCAGAAGGCCTTAAAGTAAAGTCATCTGAAAAATATTGTCATAAATGCTAAAAGGACGAAAGTCGGGCAAATGTTTATGAATAAAAAAAGAAATTCAGAGAAGGCCTTAGATGAATAATTTTTTTATTTTATGGTTCTTATTCCCTTGTGATTTAGTTTAACTTAATCATGTGGTTCGTTTTTGCTCTAGATGTCATTTTTTTATTTTTTTAAAGCCTCACCTTAAGTCTTTTTTGTTTCTGATTCTTATCTGAAATAAGGTTACTCTGCCTAAGCGCTGTCTGCATGTTCACGACAGCATGCGGAACACCACCTCAAGCACTGAAATAATCGACCGCTGATCTGCCCCAGAGGAAAGCTTGTGTGGCGTAGACAGATAGTCGCTGCTACCTGTCCGGGCGTCTGAACGGTGAAACTAGTAGTTCAAGATCAGTGTCTAATCAATATCTACAGCGGCCTTAACTAAATATTCAGTTGACCCCTTTTAGTGCTTAAAGTGGTAGATCAACAAGTGCTATTATTTTTAAAAAAGACAACTTACTTTATGGTCTCTTTGTAAGTTATTTTACCAGCCATACTCTTTAGCAGTGTTTTCTTGCCTTCAAGTTTGATAATATTTAGTATTATTTAAGTCTCATATTGTTTTCCAGTTTAGTATCGATAGTATATTTGTTGTATTTGTAACTCTTTCCAAAATTTATTAAAGAGGGCAGTACAACTGTATTTAACGATTCCTCCAATTAAACTGTCAAGTGAAAATCTCAAATGTCTCTCGGATTGTTATTTATTGAAGGATTTGTGTAATAAAGGATTATATAACAAAATTAATTGTAGAATTTCTTAGAGTTCCAATAAAAAAGCGTCTTGTCATTACGTCAAACCTATTAGCAATCAGCTGTCAAAGGCAGTGATCTAATGAATGAGTTGGCATTGTAATCATCGGCGAATATCGATTGCTTATGGCAGAGAAGTGTACAACGGGGAACTCTTAGAGATTTGTATAAGAAGGTCTGTTGGATAGTAGCAACAAAATTATTTTTTTTCTAAATTCTTCAGTATTTCTGGCGACAGACTGGCAGCAGAAATATAAGGCCATTTACATAAAAGAAAAGTTCTTCTGCGCTAGGTCGTTGTTATTGGAAGAAGGACAAATTATAACAGTATTTAATTCTTTTTAGTCGCTAAAAGCTATTTTTTGGACGGTCGTCAGTGATGCAACACTAGCTAAGTAATCATGTTGTGACCATTTTTGTCACAAGAAGTCTTACTCTTGATAAAGAAATCACTTTTTATTGAGAAAATCTTAAAAATTATTTTTTTCAGAGTGAGATTCTATTGTATGGCAAGACGGTATATATATCAAATTGTATGTTTTTGTTCGTTGTTTAAAGTTAAAAAATATTATTTAAACGTTGTAATAGGATAATAAAGTGAAATTGAAACCATAAATTCTTAGCGTACACAAAATTTAAATAAATTATCAAGAAAGATAAGGTTTGACTTACCATTATTTTTCCATTAGGTATTTCAGGTGGTTCCCACCCAATAAAAAGTCCTCGTCCATTGTTGGTGGCTGTTATGTTCTTTGGAGGTGAACCAGGCCCTGTGATAGTTATGTTGACAGTTGCACCTTGAATTCCATAAATGTTTTCTGCTTCACATTGTACAACCTGGTTTTGAGTTCTGAAATCCTCATTTGTTCACTTTTGAATGGTTGAGGCCAGTGTGGGGCACCGTTAAATATTTCTGGTCAAAAATAAACGTTTCTGACAAAACTTAAATTATTATGAAATTGGTTCTTTTTTAAAGGAGCGAGTACGTCTCTGCAAAAACTGGAATTTTTTCTGACTAGATTGCATCTAAACAGGCTAGTGAAAATCGGACAAAATTTAGCACGATTTTTCTTTTTTATATGCTGCAATGTTGTGAGCAGTGTAAATTACTGGGAGATGTCTACTGGCGAAACACGTCTAATAATTTGATAAAGTGATGTTGTCCGTTTTGAATGTGAGAATAGTCGGGTTTTAAACCGTTACGAGCCTATTTTTGCCTTTTGCGACGAACTAAGTTTTTTTTTGGTCTTTTAATAAGGCATTGTGCATTAAAAATATTTTTTACAAACCTCGTAGGAATTTTTAGAAACGAAACCACTGTTCTTTCGTCCAAAGTTGCTGTTTCTATATCATACACTTCTTGCATCATATTCTTTTCCCACTGCCATCGTACCGCTGCCGTTGGAATGCTCATTGCTTGGCATTCAAGGCGAATTTCTTCCGCTAATGAGGGGCGAAAAACAAGGTTATCACCGTTTTTGATTATGACTTTTGGTTTTCGGGCTGTAAAGTATAGTTGTTAATACGTGAGATTGACTCAGTTTAGACACAGTGTGGTGACACATTGCTTGAAAATTGTTTTATTGGTCCGGTGAAAAATTACCTTCAGCATTTAGCTCGAAATTTGTAACCTTTGAACCGAACCTTCCAGTTTTGTTATCTACAAATACTCTAAAAGAATGTTTTGAGGCAGAACTGATGGTCAGTTCCTTTAACTTAATGTCCACATATTCCTCTTCACCAGTGAGATTTAAGCCTTGCACTGCGTAAGCCTTCCAACTGGTATTTGTAAAAAAGTCTTCTGCACGGTACTCTACAGTATAATCCTGAAAAACAACATTAAAATATTTTTAATAGAGCTTAGTCAACTAAAAATAGGCTCAAATATCCTAATTTAATTTGTTGAAACGTTTTAATTTTTGAACAGTTCGCAAGGAAGACTTGCATTTCTCAGCAAGGTTTTGATAAACAGATACGACTTACTTGGACATATCTAGATTCTACACTGCATGGTATGATTACCGGCTTGAATTTGACGTGATAAATTCCTTTATAATCTATGTAAATCGTGAGGTTAGTGGGCACATCCGGAACTGGAAAAATTATTTAAATCATACTATAGAACCAATCACATTACACCCTTCAATTTATATGAATGAAAGTCCTAGCAAAAGTGGTTACATAAGTGTTTGGACCGGTACGCTAGTTTTCAATGGTTTCTTCGAATTTTAGAATGGTAGATTTTAGAATTACATTCCAACTCAACGGGTTTATGATAATAACGTTGAAACCCTTAAAACTTAGCCAAATAAGATAGATTTACAAAATTTATTTTAACCATCTTCAATTAATTTGCTGCTACGTAATTTACTTTAGTTTATATTTTTTATCTTCCAGTTTTATTGACCTGTATAATAAAGCTCTTTTTTGTAACTATATTAAAATCCTGCCTATGATTTCGTCTTTGTTTAACAGTTATATAATAGAATGATCTGTTTTTTATTAAAAAGAACAACTTCTGTAGTTTCGTAACGGTCAGGACACAGCGGCGCTGCTACATTTGTGCCTCCTGCCCGTCAGTATGTTCTGCATACTATTAATATTTTGAATAAGTGGACAGCTTATAACGGCATTAAACGTCTACCTAAATAATGCCAGCACCTGACAATCAATCACAAGTTGCAATCCCCTAACCGTATCAGTAATACCTGCACAGAAACCACTGATTTGCTCTGGCAGAAATTTAAAGAAGGTAACAAAAGGCGTTGTGGGATTTCTCAGACTCTTTTGAATAGCTACCTTACGCAGTTCATTTAGAAGAAGTTTAAGTAAGATTCTTTTTACTACTCCGGTCTCCAGAATTCTAAATTTTATCCTGCCAGTCCTTTAAATGAAAAACACGGTTGCTAACCTTAAGCTGCTTAATACCTTCAAAATACCTTTAAACAGCAGTTCCTGCTGAACTAGAGATTGGGTAAATAAATCGAATTAGCCCACTAGCACCAAAAAGTCTCAACCCTCTCGCACAATGACATTTAGTCTCGCATCGTTGAATGACTTTTTATGCATCACATTCTCTACTGGTCTGACGGTGCACTGCAGCTTATATCCATTCTCTCTAGTTCATCATAACATGTGGTTTTTGATTTCTATGCCTTTTTCTCTTACCTCGCAAACTCGTCCATACTGTAATACTCATCTACATAAAACAACTCGCTTAGGGCCGTCGCCTCTGTCAAGCTTCATTTCAGCAGACCAAGCGGCAGAATACTACTAAACTGCTGCCAGCTTGTGAAAGGCGTTACCGAGCCACACCCTGTGTGGGTCGATGAATCAACCTCCGTCCCGGTCGTTAGGGTTTGTTTGGGAACTCTGCCCACCGAGGTGGAAAAGAAAGGTGAGACAGCTAATTCGAGTGAGCTCCCAAAAATCTGCACTGAATATTACCGATGTTTGTAATTATAATACGATAATAACTGACACGGATAGTGAGAATTGGAAGCTGATTGTTGCTGTGTTTGTGAAATTTCTTTTTTGAATCATGATCAATAATCTTGCCCCTAGAATACTCAAAAATTTCAAGGAATGAAGCAAAAAGAACTGCATCTATGAGAGATTTTCATTTAAGACACCCACACTGATGTTACCTTCGTTGACAGTATCAAATTCGACAATTTCATCTATCCTCTTTTTGTCGTCGCTACGCATCTGGGCAATTCTTGCAATGTATCTTGAATTTGGTACTAGCTCCAAATCTCTCCCACTTTTTAGTGTATTAAAAGTAAGATTTCTTGTTTCATACTCCAATTTCTTCCATCCAGATGAGCTACTTTTCTCATCTGGTGCTTTAGTATAAAATATCCTATAACCCTGAAACAGAAGCGGTTTATACAAATAGTTGGTTTGAAAAAAAGACACATTGCTCATTCTATCATAACAAAAATGGACCATGGTGATGTACGAAGACATTAGTTTGGCCTGTAAATAAAAGCGGATTTAGTAAGTTCACTTCTACTGTCTCTCTAAATCAGAGGAGTATTTCAGAATGTTCGCTGCTAGGTGTCAACAGATAGCCTATTGCGTCTTCTCCCTGCCTATCACATTTCCTATTTC